AGGCAGCGTCGGTGGTTGGACGTGGTGAAGGATTATGATTGCGAAATCGTCTACCACCCAGGGAAGGCCAACGTGGTGGCCGATGCGCTTAGCCGCAAGGAGGCACCGATCAGAGATATCTGCATGCGGATGACAGTAGTGACCCCGTTATTGGAGCAGATCCGAGAGGCCCAGCAGGAGGCTATGAAGGAGGAACATCGGAAGAGTGAGCGTATAGTGGGTCAGGTTTCCTCCTTCGACTATGACAGCAGGGGATTATTGACATTACACCACAGGGTGTGGGTTCCATACCTCGGAGGCGTGCGCCAGGTTTTGATGGAGGAGGCGCACAAATCCCGATTCTCCATTCATCCCGGGGCGACGAAGATGTATAGGGATCTTCGTCTTGATTATTGGTGGCCCTGCATGAAGCGAGATGTAGCATGGTATGTGGAGCGGTGCTTGACCTGCAGGAAGGTCAAGGCCGAGCACCAGAGGCCACACGGCAAGATGCAGCTGTTGGATATTCCCCTGTGGAAGTGGGAAGATATTACTATGGATTTCATCACCAAGCTTCCCAGGACCGCGCGGGGGAGTGGATTCCATATGGGTCATCGTGGATCGGTTGACCAAGAGTGCCCATTTTATACCGATCCAGGAGAGCATATCGGCCGAGAAGCTGGCCGATATTTATATTCGAGAGGTGGTGGCTCGTCACGGGGTGCCGGTCTCCGTGATTTCTGACAGGGATGTTCGGTTCACTTCCAGGTTTTGGAAGAAATTCCACGACGAGTTGGGTACTCGTCTGCATTTCAGCACCGCCTTTCACCCGCAGACGGATGGCCAGAGTGAGCGGACCATCCAGACTCTGGAAGATATGATGCGGGCGTGTGTGTTAGATTTTGGTGGTAGTTAGGATACTTACCTTCCGTTGGCTGAGTTCTCCTACAACAACAGCTACCACGCGAGTATTGACCGTCCTCCATTTGAGATGTTATACGGGAGGAAGTGCAGGACCCCGATATGCTGGGGCGAGGTTGGCCAGAGGGTCATGGGGAGCACCGAGGTGGTGCTCAAGACGACAGAAAGAATTCAGCAGGTCAGGAGCAGACTTCAGACTGCACTGAGACGGCATAAAAGTTATGCCGATAAGCGTCGTTAAAGACCTGGAGTTCCAGGTCGGGGATATGGTTCTCCTGAAGGTGTCGCCATGGAAGGGCGTCATCCGATTCAGGAAACGGGGCAAGTTGGGTCCCAGGTATATTGGACCCTTCAGGGTTATAGCCCGGGTGGGCAAGGTGGCATATAGGTTGGATCTGCCAGCCGAACTCAGTCAGATTCATAACACTTTTCACGTCTCCCAGTTACGGAAATGTTTGGCGGACGACTCGACAGTGGTACCATTAGAGGATATTCAGGTCGATGATAGCCGGAATTACATTGAGCGGCCTGTAGCGATTCTCGACCGGAAGTCGAAGGATCTGAGGAACAAGAGGGTGGAGCTCTTGAAGGTGCAATGGCAGCACCGAAAAGGCTCGGAATGGACCTGGGAGCTAGTGGATGAGATGATGGAGCATTACCCGGAGCTATTCCAGGATCGAGCAGCAGACTTCGAGGACGAAGTCTAAAATAAGTGGGGGAGATTTGAAGCACCCGCTTCCTGGTATGTATTTTATTTTAGTAATTTTGCATTTTTGGCCTGGGACTCGGCGAGTTGAAGGTCTAACTCGTCGAGTAGAAGCGGGATGAGACGCGGGATTTAAGTGATGGACTCGTCGAGTCGAGTCCCAGACTCGACGAGTAGACTCTGTCTGGACAAAACCCTAAACTGAGGGTTTGCACCCTATTTAAACAACCTTATACAACCTCCATCGTCCCTTATGCTCCCAGAAACCCTCTATAGAAAACCCTAGCCGTTGTTGAAGCAATCTAAGTCATTTTGGTGGATCTTGGTGTTGGTGGTCTTAAGAAGGAAGGAGAAGAGCTTGAGGAAACAAGAGGAGACCAGAGGGGTTCGAGTTTGTGCTTCATTTTCAGTCCTTAGAAGGTATAAAGTTGCTAACTTGCTTGTTCATTTGCTAGATCCCATTTTGTGGAGATTTAGGGCTTTTATAAGCCATTTTAGGTAGCCAACCATGAATGCAAGCATGGTTGGGGACAAGGCTTCGGATCTAGGTCCTTTGAGGGGTCACAAGGCAGAAAGTGGGTGCTTTTCCACCCAAGGAAGACTCCATGCAACCCAAGAGCTTGTTTTAGGACCTTTTGGACTCAAAGTCCCATGCATGCACGTAAAGTTTGTAACTTTACGTGCTAGGACGATTGTAGGAGCCTAGATCTATCTTTTGGTCATGAGTTGTACATTAGAAATCGAGGATTTAGGGTGTGGACGTGACCAACTCGGCGAGTCCGTTCTTGGGACGCGACGAGTCCAAGGCTTTGAGTCCCATATCTGTTGAGGGTCAAAAGAACTCAGTTGGGTGTTAGTAAGGTTGTAGCAGGACAGAAAGAGTGACCCAATGCATTGGACTTCATTTTAGACCTGGAATTCATGGGACTCGACGAGTGCTAGAACAGACTCGGCGAGTCCAAGGCAATCTCCCAACCCTTGAAGATGAACTCGACGAGTTATTCATACAACTCGACGAGTCGAGGACAGGACGTGTTCTTAGGATGAAGACGGGCTCGATGAGTGTTCATACCGCTCGGCGAGTCGGATGAAGGTTCATCTGAGGTTGTGTTAGAAGGAGAACTCATCGAGTCATCGCTAAACTCGACGAGTAGGGACGTGGAAGAGGACAGTTGAAGGGGTAGGGACTCGATGAGTTGACGACCCAACTTGGCGAGTCGGGTCAATTGGAAGTTGACTTTGACGTTGACTTTGACTTGGACTTGGTCTGGGGTAAAATAGTCATTTTACCCTAAAGGGTAGATACCAGATTCTGATTAAGTGTTTTGTGGGGAATATAGCCGGAGGATTTCCGGAGCGGCAGCAGTCAGATATTCCCCCGCACAGATTATCAGCAGCTACTCGTTTGAGGTGAGTTTCCTTCCAGTAGGAACAGGTATAAGGCACCAAGGCCGGCCCGTATAGACGATATGTTAGTATCGGAGTGTGGGCAGAACCCGTATCTCATAGTTGAACTTGATTATGATATATGCTTGTACGTTAGAATTGTTTATACTCGTTGTCTGTGTGATACTTGTATGTTATGGTTTAGTAGCTGAGTGTGGGCGAGGCCTGTATCTCAGAGATAGTGGAGTGTGGGCGGGGCCCGTATCTCCCAGATAGTGGAGTGTGGGCGGGGCCCGTATCTCCCAGCTAGCGGCGTGTAGGCGGGGCCCGTATCGCCATGAGTGTGGGTGGGGCCCGTATCTCCTAGCTGTTCCTTATATGTGTATGGTATGTGGTATTATGGGGAGCTCACTAAGCTTTGTGCTTATGGTTTTCAGTTTTGTTTCAGGCACCTCTTCTTCGAAGGGGAAGGAGCCGGCGCGGTAGCTGCACATCATACACACACCCCAGATTCCGCACTATGAGTTTCCTTGGGATTGTGCTCTGACATTATCACTATTTACGATTTGGATTTTCAGACATTATACATAGTTTTATGAGATGTTATGATTTGACAATGTTTTTCCTCCGAATGTTTTAATTTAAGCGATTTATAAAAATGAAATTTTTGGGCGTGAAAATTGGGCTGTTACAGTGGCAAACGGTGGTCTTATCCTCTTTTACTTATACAAACAAGATATACCCTAAAGTAAAGGTGAGTCAATAAAGTCAATAAGCAAAAATCTTTATGAAAGCAAGTCCCATCGAGTGGAGTCAAGGCATGCCTTAAGGTAGTAAACACCAAGTCACTGCACTAGATGTTCTGGCTACATTGCATCAATATTTAAGCCCGATCATTTCCATGCAGAACCTGTAAAAAGTCAAGCCCCGAGGATTCTAGTTTTACACCCACATACAAGCATGTAGGTATCACCTTGATGGTTGACCCCAGCAGAGGTAGAGTCACCTGTCGAAAAAAGAGTATTTCTACGACCGATGGCTAACCATAAAAACGAAAGAATGGCAAAGAGGATCAAAACCACAAAATGGAAGGTTTTCGTCGTCCCCAGGGAAGATGGCTTTAGCTGGGTCTTGTAGACGGGAAGACTTCCTTATTCATTATAAATATCCCACGTCTTGCTTTACGCGATTGCTTGCTATTCGGTAGAAGAATTGTTACCTACGCTTTTCTTTGTCTTACGACTTGACTGTGTTTAACAACTCATCTCATTAATAAGCATTTTGTTAAACTAAATAGACTTCTGAACCGGAAGACTAAGCGAATTCTCCTTACTATTGTTTGACTACAGCCGCTTCTACACCTTCATTTAGCAAATCCGATCTTTATTCGTTCTTCTTCTATTTCATTATTAGAATTTAATTATTTCATGATGCTTCAATCCATTTTTTATATAAAGTAACTACGACCACCTACTGCTACCCCAATCTACGATACCTTCTCATCTCCTTCGATTGGCTCCGTGTGGGGCATCCTGTTGAGAGACATTAGCTAATATAGCCTGCCCCTTTTTGCGCAATACCTCTTTCTTTGTATGTGGTCTCCTGCCATTTTTCCAGCACAGTAGTTGCATAAGCAGTCATGTTCAGGGGACGGAGTTCAAGGCGAGTAGCCCTTATTTCTCTATTCAATCCACGGCCTACCTCGAGACACCTGTGTCACAACGGCTGATTTTTTGAGTGAGGGAAGCCAGAGCATTGGTCAAGAGAGAGAAAGAAGAAGAACTATAGATCGAGAAAGTCACATTAGCTACACCAGACCAGACAGACTTTCTTTTTTTTTTACTATTTTTTGACTGACCGGATCGGTCACTCCTCAACCAACTAAGACATTTCTGAGCAGTTCCCCTCACCCCCTATCACTTAAAGGCAGAGCTAACCCAACATTCTACTGCACCGACAAACTGGAAAAACAGCTATTGCTATCGATACCATATTAAACCAAAAGCAAATGAACTCAAGGAGCACCTCTGAGAGTGAGACATTGTATTGTGTCTATGTAGCGATTGGACAGAAACGCTCAACTGTGGCACAATTAGTTCAAATTCTTTCAGAAGCAAATGCTATGGAATATTCCATTCTTGTAGCAGCCACCGCTTCGGATCCTGCTCCTCTGCAATTTCTGGCCCCATATTCTGGCTGTGCCATGGGGGAATATTTATGCGATAATGGAATGCACGCATTAATAATCTATGATGATCTTAGTAAACAGGCAGTGGCATATCGACAAATGTCATTATTGTTACGCCGACCACCATGCCGTGAGGCTTTCCCAGGGGATGTTTTCTATTTACATTCCTATCTCTTAGAAAGAGCCACTAAACGATCGGACCAGACAAGCGCAGGTAGCTTGACCACCTTACCCGTCATTGAAACACAAGATGGAGACGTATCAACCTATATTCCTACTAATGTGATCCCCATTACTGATGGACAAATCTGTTCGGAAACAGAGCTCTTTTATCGCGGAATTAGACCTGCTATTAACGTCGGCTTATCTGTCATTCGCGTTGGGTCTGCCGCTCAGTTGAAAACTATGAAACAAGTCTGCGGTAGTTCAAAATTGGAATTGGCACAATATCGCGAAGTGGCCGCCCTTGCTCAATTTGGGTCAGACCTGGATGCTGTGACTCAGGCATTACTCAATAGAGGTGCAAGGCTTACATAAGTACCGAAACAACCACAATATGCACCACTTCCAATTGAAAAACAAATTTTAGTCATTTATGCAGCTGTCAATGGATTCTGTGATCGAATACCACTAGACAGAATTTCTCAATATGAGAGAGCCATTTTAAAGAGTATAAAAACAGAATTACTACAATCCCTTTTAGAAAAAGGTGACTTAACTAACGAAATAAAAATGGAACCAGATACATTCTTAAAGGAATGCGCTTTGGGTTACACAATATAAAAGAAAAAAAAATATATAAATTATGTATGTCAGTGGATTGAAGAATTCAAGCTCGAAGACCAAGAGAAGCGGGCTTTTTTTCGCCGAAAGAGGGGCCTGTTGACACAATCTCATTTCTTTCACCCTTGTTTTCCGTTGGTCAACAACCAACAAAAGAGGGAGAGAGAGATCTCGTTAGTCCTGGTATGATTGCCGCGGGTTGTCGTTGGCCCGACGAACTTTGGGAGGGAAGGGAAAGGTCAAGCTGGCGGAGACCCAAGCTGAGAGTAACTGCCCGAGAAGGTCAGTGAGGTTCCAACTGTAGTGAAATGAAGGATCTTTCTTAAAATGAACTATGGTTGGAAGAAGACAGGCAGGAGTGAGCCGAACGAGAGCAAAGCAAGTTCCAGTGGTGGGCTGTCGGTCTGTTCCCAAAGAAGGGTAGCAATGCTAGATTAAGAAGGGGTAAAGCCATAACTCTGCCCTAAGCATTGAGCTTAAAACAAGCCACGAAAAAGACTTTTCGGGTAGCCTTCCATGCCAAGCCAGCACATGGATCGGATTGGTACTCGAAGGGCTTCCCCTTCCTCGGCCCCTTTCTTCTGTCTTTGACTGACCACAAAAAAGACAACAAATAAACGGAGACGTGTCACCAAAGCAACACTTTCAGGATTAATTACAGGCCATGGTGATCTTCGATCTCCACCATGGGCTTGACTTGAGGCATCGGGGACTCACCACAACCTCATGCCCATTCATAGCAGCACACGTTCCTTCCATCGTCTGATGTCCTCCTGAGACTTCTGAGCCTCCTAGGATACTGTCGTAAGCCGTAGCCACCAGATTAATATGTGGAAATGGCAAGTACACACTGTGCACCACGATCTTGACGTTGCGGATGACGTCCGACACCTTAATCCTCACATAGTTCATCGTCATCGGCGCCGAGGTCAAACCTCCACCGGCACCAGAGGTTGTGATAAGCAGCGATTTGCCTCGTTCCAATGTCGGCGGAGCAGTCCCCACCGGAAGCTTCTCCAGATCCGCGATCGACAAGAAATGGTTCGGCACAATGTGGAACCTGACATTGCTGATATGATATAAGAGTGAGAACCGGAGAAGATCGAAAGGTCGTCAACGACGAAGACTGTCATATTGTATTGTTAAGAGTCACAAGCTCGGCGTACTTCACCTTCATAGCGAGGGCTAGGATGCTGAAGCCATTGTTACGGAGCCGGATCATGGCATCTCTGAGCATCAGGCGCATGATAGCGGGCTGCACCGAGCCGGAAGTCTGGATATGTTGACCAGAATGATGATCTGGATGGAACGGGAATGAGAGCGAGGTCATCCTCTCCACGTCGCAAGAAAACGTAGAGAGCGGAGAGATGAAACCTTGAAGGCCATGAATAACCACCATGCCGTTGTTGAAGAGATCGGTTGCGTGATCTCCATCCCTCCGATAAAGACCTTAGCACTGGCAGTTGTGCTGGTCTTTCTATTGACCGAATCAGAGGTGAGGGTGATGCAACGGCCTGGACTCAAGGTCTCTCCTGCCTCTCGGGCGAGGGATGAGAGTAGTGTTATTTAGTTTGATGAGGGGCGAGGGATTTGCGTGATCTCCACACTTTGACACATGATATTCCGTAACGAGTAGATACTTCCGCAGGAGCATAATCTATTTTCTGGTTAAATACATTACTAGATGTTTTTCCATAATTTCCGCATTCAGTTCTAGCTATTTCTGCACCTTCTGATCGACCTGAACAACATATACGGATCCCCTCCACCCCTTTTTTCATTACTAATCGAATATCCTTCACTATTTGACTAAAAATGGAGCGAAATGATCTTGTTTTGTTCCTCGGTTGAAAAGAGATATCTTGAGCAATCGGAGAAGCACTTTGATAAACAGATTTGATCTTGACCAGCTCAATTATTGTATTAGTCTTTGTTCTATTAGACAACAAAGATCGCATTTTTTTCACTTCGTTCAAATAAAAGTTGTACCCGTACGGAATTTTTCTGTTTCTCAGTATGATCTCTATCATCATCTCTATTCCCTTTATCAATTCTCCTATCCCACCTAGGTCTATGAGTTTCTCTAGCAATTCCATTACCTTATCCTTAGCCGTGAGGTTCCAACATTTTTTCCTGAATTTTCGTAGGAGTTGTTCCCGGGCATACTCAAAAAAAGGTTCTTATACACTCCAACCCCGTCCCTTGGAAAGAAAAAGGTAGCACCGAAGAAAGGAAAGAGCGAGATGGTGGTTTTTGTTGTTCCCGCGAAGTGAGAGTTTCCCTTCATACGGCTCGAATCATTCTTAGATGCCCCGAGAGGCATCCTTTCCTTGTTTGTTGGGTTGGTTCACGCACGCGCAAACGAGCACTGGCCGCAACATCAGGAAACTATGACCAATAGAGTCAGACACTTAGCTACATCCGCACGCAAAAGGAATGTGGTTCTGGTTGAGGCTTTCTTTTCCTTATTAGTAAAGGGGGCTAGGGACGTTCGCGGAGTCCGTGCCTTCCGTACCACCAAAAGGCCGTTCTTGGGCGGATCCCGCTCCTAAACATAAGGGATAGGGGTCCTGGGTCTGGGCCTACCATATAAAAAGGGTCGTAGAAAAAGAACCCGGCCACCTATTTCATTCGGCGTTCCGGGGCAGGGGCCCGACCGATTCGACCTACTTTTGCTTTTGGATAACAAGAAGGCGAGCTTCTCTGCTTTCATCAAATCAAAAGCCCAGTCAGCCACCAACTCGGTGCAGGTCACGTGACCTACAGCTCGGCCTTCGGTTTTTGAGGCTTCCTCTACCCACATATCTATGTGTCCGCAGCACTTCCATATGGAGAAAGATAGGCTTACCATGTTCCATCAATAGCACCTAACCTATACCGATTTTGGCGGACCGTGCTCCACCCCGGTGAACTCATGCGGTTCTGACGTGCCCAGAGGCCAGAGGCGAATCCGTTCACAGTCCGTAGGACCAACACCATTCGAAGGTGGGCGGCCCACCCCGCCTAGAACAGTTATGTTTGACTGGGCTTACACACATTCGCTCACTTACGCTGTCCCCCCTCAGCTCACCCTAGCCCCCGGCCTTTTGCTCTTCTAACGTAAGCTCCAAGGCTTCACACCAAGTCTTCACTAACATAATATGCATGCTTAAGTAGGGTCAGGCAGAACCGTTGTTGCCTGATGGGAACTTCCCCCATATTGCTATCAATGTCTTCATGTCACACGACCTCTTAACATTACACCACTGAATCCCCAATCCTTTGCTTGCTGTGCAGTGACAGTACCAATATCCACTAATCGTTGTTTCCAGATACGGTTGCCGGTTGACATATCTTCTAATTTGTCGATACGAGAAGCAAATTGTTGTGTGGAGGAATCAATATCTCGACATAAGCCAAGAGGCAGATCTTGTGCCACTCCACCTGGTCGTATGAAACTGGCATGCATCCTGGCTCCCAAGACTCTTTCATAGAATTCCAACAATTTTTTCCCGCTCCTCAAAAGCCCATAGGAACGGAGTTGATGCTCCCACATCCATAGCATGAGTAGTTAAATCAAGTGAATGATTTGAAATTTGAGTTATTTCACGAAATAACACTCGTATATATTGAGCTCGTACTGGTACCTCGCAATTCAAAAGTCTCTCTACGGCTGAAGAATAAGCGTGTTCTTGGGCCATCGTAGAAACATAGATAGGGTCGACGACGGAACGAAGAACAAAACTTTACGACTGCTTTTTCGTACACGTTCACTTGCATCACATACACAAGTGCTATCTGAACCATGCAATAAGGTCACCCATAACACGACTCTCCCATTTGAGTTATCTTAGCCCCCAACCATGCTATTCAATCATCTTAGAAAAATGGCAGCGTAAGGTAACAACTAGTATTGAAAGCTGGTCGCCTTTGAAAGCATTCGCTGGTAACCAAAGCGTCTCGTTCCCGCAACCACTTTGGTACTTTGTTTATAGATTTTTTAGGTTATGCAATAGAAGGGGGCTTGCGCTTGAATTGAAGTAGCGCCTTTGGAATATGAGTAGGGCTCCTAGGTGGTGCGTTCGTGGAGGCAACCCAAAGGAAGAGCAAAAAGAAGGTTGGGTGCTTGTAGGGCAAGGCCACCCGGCCTCGAATAGGAGGGGGCTTAGCTCTGGATCCTCCCTGCTTGCAAAAATGAATGGATCAGAAGAGGGCTGGATTCTTTATTTTTGGGCCGGGCGGGAGGTGAAGGCAATAAGAGAAGATTGCCCTCCCGGTAAGGAAGAGGGGGAAAAGGCGTTGTCATCTATCTCGACCAGTTTTCCAAGGCGTTGGAAATCCAGACCGGCTCAGAGAATCACTGGTGCTATTTAGCCCTTCGTTTCGACAACAAAGAAGTCATCTTTGACGATTTCCCATTCCTTCCCTGCCGAGCCGCCTCTCTTCGCCATTCGGTGCCTCTGCCTTCCCTTTCTATAACATAGCCAAGCACCCTCCTTTACAATCACTAAGAAAAAAGAAATACCAATCAAAGCCCTATCGTCTCAGTACGTCTCTGTGATTTTTCCGACCCCAGGGGACTTTACTCGACCCATTACCCAGTCTCCCGCACTGCTCAAGTAAGTGTGCGACTCCGTATGAGGACCTCATTCCCTTCTGCCCACTCTCCGTTCACACGGTTCTCAAAGCAGAGGAGGAAGGGTGGGCATCAGGTACCACGATCCCTCTGTCCCACACATCTATCCAGAAGCAAGTGTAGTTCACCGGTTCCACCGAATGCTCCTATCTGTCGGCAAAGATCGTGTGAGTGTGCAGTTATGGTAAATTCCTAGAGAAGCTCTACGGCACCCACGATTCCCAGTAGTAAGTCGTCGGCTATGCCCCGATTGTTACGACTTCACCCCAGTCGAAGACCCCACCGTGGTATGCGCCAATAAGACCACCAAAAGCCTTTGTGGCACTAGTGGTACACAGAAGTCATGGGTGATCATTGGTCCGATGCTTCGGGCGAAACCTATTCCCAGGGTGTGACGGGCGGTGTGTACAAGGCCCGGGTACATATTCACCGCGGCATGCTGATCCGCGATTACTAGCGATTCCAACTTCATGTTCCCAAGTTGCAGAGAACAATCCGAACTGAGGCAATCTTTCCGGATTCGCTCGGCCTTACAGCCTTGCTTCCCATTGTAATTGACATTGTAGCACGTGTGTGGCCCAACCCATAAAGGCCATGCGGACTTGACGTCATCCCCACCTTCCTCCAGTATATCACTGGCAGTCCTTCGTGAGTGCGGCACGCACCTTTTTGTAGTAATAATTCAAGTAAGAAGTTGATTACCCGAAACAACAAATGATGAGTAATCAATATGGTGATTAAATAAAATGTTTTATTTATACTCAAAGGTTTGAGGCCATATAGGATTAGTATTATTCTTGTGTTTCATTTTGCATGTTTTGACTTCCAGAATAATAAGATTATTCAAACCCTCCACAGTCGCTCATTCTTTGGAAGTAGGAATGAAAGAAGACTGTCATGAATCTGACTGTAGATTGTCTAGAGTGTTTTAGACATAGCAAAAGTTTGTTGCAGGGTTCATGAGTACTGCTATAAGATTAGAGTATTCGAATAAACCCACACTCACTTGGATCACTTCATGGATTTTATCACGAGTGATTGGTGAGACGATAATATCTTATATTCTTGAAACCGAGATGTGTGAGTTGTATCTTGCGATTCGGTTACACATTGATAATATGTAAACGCACCAGTAACTTGTTGTTATAAAACGTATTGTTGTGTGTGATTCGGTGAGTGAGTGCAAACGAGCATTGAGTCGAAGTTTATCCGTTCCTTTTACCCAAAGTGGGATAAAAGCGATATCTGTGGGGGCCTCGATGATTTAGTGATGACACCCTAAGCGCTTGGCCAATCCGGGACTAAGTTGATGTGTTCAATTGTAGTATGTTGTCAGTCGTCATAAATCAGAAGTCGGGAAACAATATATAGACAGAGAGAATGATTTAAATCCATTTCTCAGTCTATACGATATCAAGAATGGAGGAATATTTGATCCCTTATCTAAAGGACACGCTTCTGATATGATCAGAGTTGACAACGGCTTTTAAAAGCTACGATTGCGGATCAGGATCTAAAGTCATACGCATAATAGTTATTAGACTTATCCAAGTGGGAGACTGTTGGATTAGTGTCTAAGTCCATAACTATTTTGGTATGTACTTGAGCCGATGGTGCATGGTCCTTTTGGGTTGCCTTCACCTTAGCAACTTGATAGGATGAATTATGGAGAGAGAGGATTAATTATGATTTATTAATATATTATGAGAATAATATATTAAAGGAGAAATCATATTGTTTAATTAATATTAGTCAAGAATTAATGAGAATTAATTTTGTGGCTAAAAAGATATTAATTAAAACTTAGGGGACTAGAACTATCAATTGTGTGATAGTTGAATATTGGGCTAATGGACTCCATATTAGAGTAAATGGACGAATTCCATGGGGAAACCCATTAGAAATCGTCCAAGGCCTCTAAGGAGGGAGTCCATGGGCTGCTTAGGGCTTAAGCAGTCAAATTAGGGTTTCCTTGTTAGATAACCCTAATAGCCTCACTATTTAAGGACCCCTAGGGCACCAAAAACGTGGCTAACTGATTCCTTAGGGTTTCTAGACGGTTTTTGGGTGACTCTCTTCTTCTCCTTCTTCATCCTCTTGCTCTTGGAGTTTGTGAGCCATTAGAGGTGTGATATTTGTGACACTAAGCTTTCTAAAGCCAATTACAAGGAGGAATAGATTGTTATTACTACATAACAATCAAAGGTAATTTCTAAACCCTTAATTTAGTACATAGCATGATAAGATCTAGGGTTTATGGCTTTGGATGATTATTGCATGTTCATTAGACAAACTAGATTCAAAGCTTTAGGTTTGCATGTACACCATAGGAATGACGTAGTGCTTAAAACCCATCAAGATATTATCGTCTCATGATCACTCGTGATAAAATCCATGAAGTGGTTCAAATGAGTGTGGGTTTAATCCAATACTCGAATCTCATTCCATGAGCACTCATGAATGTTGTAGAAACTCTTGCTATGTACAACACCTTAGCCATCTACAAGCCAACTTCATGACAGTCTTGATTCATATATACCTCCAACATATGACTGACTGTGGAGAATTTGAATAACCTAGTTATTCGGGAAGTCAAAACATGCAAAGTGAAACATAAGAATAATACTAATCCTATATGGCCCCAAGCACCTTTGAGAGTAAATAAAACACCTTTTATTTAAACACCATATTGATTATTCATTATTTATTGTATAATGTTTCGAATAATCAACTTTATACTTGAATCTGAAACAATAGTCATGCCATGCTCCAAACATGCACACTATGTTTGTCCAAAGAATAGCTATGCCATACACCAAGAATGCATACTATGTTTGTCTATGATCCTTACTTTGTGGAATAGATCAATTGAACATAGCTCCAATGATTTTCATTTCACAATCCCAAATCATTATCATAAATGTAAGAATTCTAAATTCCTGCCATTTACCGAAATCTGTTAGATTCTAAACTTATATGCATTGATCCTCTTGTAATGACTATGCACAAAGTCACAAAGACTTGGCAACAGACATTACAAAGTACTCCAATGGAGATCACTTCCATGGAAACGAAGTCTCAAATTCAAAGTACATTGCTTTGAACATCCTTCTTGCATTAAGTTTTCTAATCTTACACAGATTGAATAACTTCCACCTATGGATACATTTCCATATTCCCAGTTTGACTATCACTTCTGAACAAGAGTTTCCTCTTTTCAGAATATGTCAATACGGTCCTTTCCAAAAATTTACATCATACTTCCAACTGTCCCTCAGCAACCAATCTTTGGTAAACCTTAGATTGTCCTCGACAATTTCTTAATCAATTTTAGTCATATCCATTTCCAAATCTTTTCCCCTCTTAATTCCCTAGGCATTTGGAAAATTTAGAAAGGATAAATATTATAGCACATGTAATCGATACTATATCTGAAGCATATGGGACACGATTCATGATGTCTCACATAAAGACATGATCCCAGACCAGTCTTTTGCTACAATATTTTTAATTTTTCATGTTTTCATAATTCGACTATGAAGAGGGATGCTGTTATCATAATCGAATTTTGAGAACGCAATATATATAGAATTTCCTTAAGTTGAACCATTCCAACATAAAATTCATATATATATCCTTGACTAAAGATGATTAAAATCTCAATCTAAGCTTTTAGAATTGAAATGAAGTATAATTTCCACTCCCTTAATTATAGCAAAACAACTTTTCAAATCTTGCAGAGTCACGAATTGAGACTTTTGTTTCTATAATTACGACTTTACATAATAATCATGCTCCCACAAACATGATAATTATTAGCATAACACTTATGCTCCCACTAGCTTTGACATGTATCCAGAAATTAGTTCGACTTCTAGAAATCAATACTTTTGTTGAAAAATGTTTTTGTATGTGATCATCATTGAAAT